AGAAGCAGTCAACTTCGGCTAATTCCTGACCGTCTAGTTTCAAAACAGAACTCAGTCTTGTAGCATCACTTTGCACTTTGAAGTTGCCGAACGGAGCGACAGAACTTGCTAGTCTGTCAAGTGCTCTTTGTGCATCCTTCATACGTTTGAACAAGCAAACAACGTCGTTAGCGTACTACAAATTGTACAGCTTTTCTCCAGCTGCCCATTTAATACCTACATTTTGGAAACCACTTAGTGTGTTCTCCAGTATTTCGTCTATGACGAAATTGAACAGGAATGGCGAAAGAGGGCAGCCTTGACGAACACCGCTGCTAGTTACAAACGATCTACTCAGCGCGCCGTAGACCCTTACGCTACCAGAAGTATGTAAGTAGAGTGAACTCAGTATATTCACATACTTCTGCGGCATTCCTTCGCGAAGGAGTGAACCCATAAGGGATTCACGATCAACTGAGTCAAAGGCTCCTTTTAGGTCAAGGAACGCGACAACCGTTGGTCGACGGTGCGTATGTAGCAGACTGTTTCGATACTCGGTCACCCACACCAGACAGGTCTGTTATCGCATAAAAACAAGTTATCACCAACCCCTTGAAATAGATATAAATGCCGGAAAACACAAGATCCCTGAAAACAGATGGTGTTGTCTTTTGAAAAAAAATAATATGAAACTGCATGGTCTTTATGAAGCCGACTTATCGTCTTCAAGTAGCAAGTCGCAGTTAAGTAAATAAAACAGATAACATGGATGACTCGCGTTAACCACGATTAATCACATTGATAATGGTTGGCTTGGAGGAAACAAAACATTTGGATGCACCGCCACCCAACTTTAAGGCAAGGCAGCTTTGCTGCCTAACCTAACAGAGCCTTATGTGGTTCGCCAATCCAAGTTCTGGCACTTAGGTTGCTGGCTTCCATTACTAGATAGCAGGCCTACGTGACTGCGGTTCCCCCCGGCCCGTTGGTTGTTTATTACTAAAAAGTGTGTGATAAAAAGGTGATCAAACTGAAATCTGGCATGAGGATATGAAAAGCCTGACCAGTAAACCTCCTTGCATAAGTCGCTTTAGACTTTCTGGATAAGGACCTGGTGATCAGAGTAACAGAGGATTAGAAACATTGAGGAAACAGACGAATGTCGTAAACAGCTGCATTTATGCTGCTGGCAACCTTAGTCTACATGAATTCTTCATTTTCACCTAGACAACTTTCAATATTCTAATCTTCTTGCTACTCATCCATTCAAATGGGCAAACAGACAACAACCAAAACCGGGGTACGAAAGTGCACGATCAACGATTTTTTAAACTGAAAAATGATAAGCAATCCCAAGATTTTCAGTAAGTCGTTTGTAATGAACATTCTGCGTAATTTACAGGCCTAATACGGAATGGTGAAAATTTTGAATTAATCTCTATCTGCCTGTTTTGTTCGAAAAGATGTGATGATAATTGTTCGTCTATGGATGAATAACTTTTACAAGTAAATCTTTTCCAAATAATCATAGCTCGGGATAATCGTAACCGATGGTTAGAGACACTGAGCGATATGGCTGGGTGTCGTAAACAGTGGCGTTCGTGCATCTCCTTAATTTCTTTGCAACCTTAGATCACTGAACTTCTCCATTTTCTTTTCGCCTCCACTGTCAACTTCCCTTTCTTCTCCTATTCTTCATCCAAATGGGAGGCCAAAAGACAGCAACCAAAACCGGCACTCGAATATGCGTGGTTAATGGTTGTTCAAACTGAAACTGAAACTGAATCATAGCTCCTCAGATCACCGAAATTTATTGCTTTAGCAGGAAATTAGAAAATCTTATGGTAGATCAAATACGAAACGAAAAGATGGACTGGACTATACCAATTAATAGCGACTGCAAAGCAGTTTCAGAACCGAATAAAAACTAGAGTGGCTTACCCACGCAAGGAATTCATCCTCGAGGACATCCAAGCCCAACTGATTGCAAACAGAGCAAATAGCTGTGCAAACAATCGAACAGCCAGAGATACAGGATAACCGAGGGAATAAAGCGGTTGCCACAAATTTAAAGGCAATGATCTGCGTGATTGATAGGGTCTATCTTCTCCCCGGGCTGACGTTTTAGACTTGGAGGGAGGATTTTGCAGTGAATCGTGATTCGGATTTGTGGGGAGCGCCAGTCGGGTGGGGCCCAGTGATTGCCGAGATCGACATGTGAGATCTGATTTGAATTGGATCGTAGTAGATTCAGAGATTGTGCAGGATTCAGGCGAGCGTGCAGTCTCGGGTCGCCGTAGAGATAGGGAAAGATCAAGGAACGGCTCTTCACGACATGACAACTAAAATGAAGACAAAAAGTACGTTCAAGTGGACGTGATCGCCAAAAATAGTTGAGCATACAATGGATTTGACTTACTTCGTTACAAGATAGGCATCGCACGGCACTAATCAGCTTGCCTTGAAAGACATCGGTGATGATGCTCCGCCCGTCGGTGTCCACACGATTGGGTTCATCGATACCTAGTTGAGAAATCAAGTTTCGGAAATATAAATACAAGTAAAAGCGGGCCATAAACACGACTCTGAAGGGAGAGATTGTGAATCAATGTACAATGTAGCTTCTCTTTAGGGAGGGCATTTGGATTTTTGCACAATTATGATCACGTATTGCTGTGCTTCTCGATACGCCCTTATTTGATGAGTTTTAAAACCCGAACGGATTGCCCTTCGGAAATAGGGTATGCACTGCAAAATACTAATGCCGATTCAAGAGAACAGTAAGCGAACCCAAAACAGGGCCATCAGTATTGTAGGATTCCGAATGGTATCAGCTATCTTAAATTTCAGATGCTCTCCGGTGGAATTGCATAGCACAAGGACATCACTAGGAGAGCTTGAGTTGAAAACCCAAAAACCAGCTATGGAGCTAAACTGCCTGAAATGTGCCAGCGTGTAGCGTATCCAGTGGTCAAAGAATAAAAAAGCCATACTGACAATAAACAATTCCGCACAGCGAGAAAGCCCACAATGAACGTGAATTTTGTTTTGGTACCATAACCGCAGTCTAGAATTCAAATGTCGGACACATGAAACGATAAGACGCCAACCCAAAACGAGGAAACAAATCACCCTATGGTAACTAGCCCTCAGACAAGCAATTAGGAACTCCGTGACCGCGTGCCATTAAAAGAAATATTCTCACTTACCATTACATGGGATCTTGGACGGTTCGACAGGCACCGTGCGTGAACATGCGTGACAAGCTCGTTTGTCACTTGTTCCGTGTTTTTGACGGTTTTTCTTTTGTTTTGATTTACCTCGTTGAACTGAATGATCACATTCACATGAAACGGAAGCCACCGAGGAAGCAAATCCACTATCGGTTGACCCGGTATCACCGGATTCGGCTTTTAGGCCTGGGGATGAAAGAAGGGGTGTCGAAACAATGTGTTT